GCTTCCCAAGTGCACGATTTTAATTTGAGCAGAGGGTTGAGGTCCCAGAGCAATGCTGTTCAGTCCTTTAGTACTTAGGATGCTACTAAACCTCTGCTGTTTGAAGTCAAAGGTACCGCAGGCTCCTGACGTTCGGTAGGTGGTGTGGGTTGGGTTTTGGTGTTTCAACATCCTGAATAACTGCAGCTCCCACCCAAACATCCTGTGGTTGGGGCGGATCATCCTGTCCCTGTTGGACCACAACAAGGGAGCCATGTGCTGGGGCTGGTCCCTGCCTGCACAAACCTCTGCGTGGCTCCTGGGAGGAAACACGATGCACCAGAAAGTAAGGAGACAGCTGCTGGAGCTAAAGCCACCAATTCAGACAACATCCTGAATAACTGCAGCTCCCACCCAAACATCCTGTGGTTGGGGCGGATCATCCTGTCCCTGTTGGACCACAACAAGGGAGCCATGTGCTGGGGCTGGTCCCTGCCTGCACAAACCTCTGCGTGGCTCCTGGGAGGAAACACGATGCACCAGAAAGTAAGGAGACAGCTGCTGGAGCTAAAGCCACCAATTCAGAAGGTTTCTATGCACAAACCTCTGCGTGGCTCCTGGGAGGGAACACGATGCACCAGAAAGTAAGGAGACGGCTGCTGGAGCTAAAGCCACCAATTCAGGTTTCTACTAAGAGCTTTTCACCTATGTGAAAACTCAAGGGAGATTTTCAAAGCCACCAAAAGGATTTGGGAGCACAAATCCACCACCAGCAGGGCTCATGCTGCTAAGCAACAAAGACACGGAATATCTCCTTCCGCGAGCACGCCAGCCTCGTTAGAGCCAGTGATGTAACTTCTGTTATAAAACTGGCGCTGGCTTCACCACTGGCCTTTTGCAAGAGGATTTTGGCTCCCCAGCCTATCCTTGGTGACAAGAGCCCTGCTTGTGCAAAGCGAGCAGCATTGCCACCTCGCCGCTCACCAGCAGGAGGGGGATGCCTGGTGTGAGCACAAGCAAGCAGACACTGTTCAGTAACGAAATGTCAGCCTGCTACAAAATACTACTGAACAGGAATTTGAAGACCCTTTTTTAAAGAAGCCACTGCTTCCCCTTGAGGCTGGACCCGTAAGAATGAGCTGTTCCATAGTTCTGACTGTACCTGGTACAGATGCTCCAAAGGTGCTTCACCACTAAATTCTTTGTGCTGCACTTTCAAGACAGACTGCAAAGCTCGTCCAAAACCCAACCAGAGCAGCTTGGGGGGTGTTGAGCCCCAGGCACATCCCCCTGCTGCTTGCACCACAGCTGGGCAGCACCAGCCCTCCCAGCACCACTTTAACACCAAACTAAAAACATCCGAATGCTTCCAAAGAACCACCAGCAAACACTGCCAGTGCCTCATGCACCTTCCCTTTCCAGACCACGACCACACTTAGGGAATGCATTCAGACAAACAATGAATGAAACACTTTGAAACAGCAGATGAACGGCAGCAACCAGCCTCCAGCCATTGAAGAGCAGCGGCCAGTCCACACCACGAGCAACCCGCTCCGGGATGCAGGGCGGCGCAAAGGCTGCAAGCACCCGGAGCAGGCAGGCATCTGCCATCCTGGTCACTCTTTTGTTAGCTATTTTTAGCTTTAATCTTATGACACCTATTGATGGTGAAAGCAATTAGCGAGCAGAGACTAACATCCTGCCGCCTTTTAAAAATAGCAAAGCACAGAGCAAAGACTTAGTCAAGCGCGTGATGGGAACATGACAGCCGTATGTAAATCGTGGTTACATACGCCAGACCTAAATAAGGAATTGTGCAGGGGACACAAAGAGGTTTCCAAACAGGTGGCAGGGTCCTGAGCATGAGAGATATTCGAGCAAGAGGTTTAAGAGAGAAGCCCCTATGAAAAACTTCATTATTTTCTCTTGTACTTGCTCATTCCAGCCCCTGACTTACACAAATATCCACAAGAAGCAGCACTAAAAGTTCTGTGACACCTGTGTCATTTACACAGTTCACATATCAGCATTTAAGAGTGTGAAAACCATGTAGGAAACCACACTGCAATTTATGATCTACCCCAGAGATAACCCTGAGCCTCAGCAGCGCGTTGCTCCAGCCAGTGCCCCGCCAGCGCTGTGAGCTGCTGGTTACAGAACAACCAGAACGCTGCCGGCCTGACGCAGGCTTGGCACTTCCAACCAGGCAAAACCAATTAATCAGAACAAAACCATGTAAAGACACATTAAATGGAACCATCTTGTCCATCTGCTAACACTGATCTGGAATTTAAGTAACTTTTTAAAATTTCAGAAAACCACAATAACCAACTGTTCCAAAGAGTCTGTGAAGCATCCCCTTTGTACACCATACAGCCACAGCTGCAAAAACCACCTTCAGACACTCCGGCCTCCTTTGAGGAGGCTTCATTACTTACCTAGAACTGGAAGACAGTAATACAATTTCTTACCATAATTACAAGTGATTAAGAGGGATGTGGGGAAGACGATTGGAAAAGCAGCCTGCTTTTGTTAACAGAAAGAAAAAGGAATACTTTCTTTGTGCATTCCTTGTTGCTGTTGAATTAAAAAAAACAAAACAATATGAAGAAGTACACTCTATAATAAATCCTTAAATGAATCCCTTCAGATAACCAAATTTTTTAGATGCACACAATATTGTGTTAGAAAATAAGACCCAAGAGTGATGAGACTGCAAGTATCCAGTATTCAAGCATCCTAGGCATCCTCTGGAAATGTCCATTTGCAAAACTAAAACACATCTTACCACTGCTTTATTCACACTCAGTGTAGTTGTTGCACTTCTAAAACCTACAGGCATAGAAAATACAGGAGCAAGTGCTTTTAAAAACATCTTCTTGAGGAACACAAAGAAATCACATCTCTGCTACTGCAGCGAACATTACCAGGAAAAACACCACTGGGAGGAAGCAGCCTGGAGAGCTGCAATTAGGCAGAGGGGGGAAAAAAGGAAAAAAAAACCAAACTAATTGACATGTTAGTTTTCCAGACAGAAAGGCATTTTTAGTTCAGCTTGTCTATATTTAATGTAATGATACTCCTGTAGGGACAGGAGCAAAATTATGTGTTTTGGTATTATATAACTGAAAACCACAAACCCCAGTACAGAATGGTATAAGAGAATTGATCCAGAACAGCAAAAGGGAAAGCAGCAAATTCCCAATATTGACCAAAATCTACACATAAACATACTTGTTTCCATACCACAAATTGAATAATCTGGATTGCCATCTTTGTTACTGTTTTTATTTAACGAGTTGGATGTGCAAGCACGACGTCATTAGGTTCAGCTCTGGATCTCGTGTTCGGAGTGGCAACAGTGTCAGTCACTTACTTTCCTGCGTAGGAGCCAGAAGGGGAAAAAAGAAAAAACAAACCACTACCAAGAACACAACAGTTTCCAAATTGCACAAAATGTTTATTGTTAGTCTAGTACATTCAATATCATATCGACTAGAATACAGTAATTCAAAATATTTTTGGCGAATTGAAATTTTTTAAAAACCATTTCAAACACTCCAAAAAGCAATGTCATGAAAAATTAACTTAAAATTAAAACAAACATCTTCAAGCAATAGTTTCACTTTTGACTACAGAAAACCCTTACATGTATTTTAGTGGTTTTAACAGTACTGCATTTAAACAAAAATCTATGAATTCACAAAAAGTGGTAAATATTAAAATAGACACAATGTTAAAAAACTGAGGCATCCAGATGTGTGAGACTGTTGTACTAGAATTTACCTGCCCAGCTGTTGCATTTGTTCTCTTTTTGGGGCAGTTAACTAGTCTGCTGTAGCGGTGCTGTTTCTTCAATAATCTGCTAACACCGTTCAGCAATTCTTCATCCATGCCTTGAATTTAAACTTTGTCCCTCTTGTAAATCCTGTATACAAATGTTTATATTCTAAAATATGCAACCCACTAAGTGCGATATTAAACGGGACCTTGAAAAACTTCCCTATCTTGCTACTCACTGTTTGCAGACAGGCAATATCCAGAACAAAATCTGAAAAAGGCAACACGTTTTGGTTTCTTTTGTAAATACTGACATGAAAAACTGAGTAAATTAGAAAAAGGATAAAGTCAATCTTAATATAAGACATTAATTATATAGTGGGACAGGATACAGATACTGGACAAACAGTACAATGACTCTTCTACAGCTGGTCATTTAACGCACATGTTCTACACTCAGGACTTGCTACCACGTTTGGATTTCCTGTACAGAAAGACAGCAATACAACTACAGACCAGTTTGACTCTCTGTTAAGTCCCAGAATGACAAGTGACACCCTACCAGGTCCTTCAGGCTCTCCTCCCCGAAGGGCTGAGCTTGTGAAGAACCATTAACTGCGAATTCAGAGTTGCCAGCAGTTGCTCTGTACCTGCTCCTCTGACCAGGATTTCCCAACAGAACAAACGTTGGTGGGAACGGCCAATTTAAATCCCTTTGAAAATCCAAGCCTCAATATTACAGCACAGATCTATGGATACACATTCTGGAGAAACGACTGACTCCGGTTTCGACAGCGGGCAACTGCTGTCCACCTTCCTCAACACTGCCAGCCCTCGTCAGTCGGCTCTCATCCCAGCTGCTGCTGGCTGGGCAGCACACGGGAAAATTGGGATCTCGAGGAGAAACTTGTGTTAATTTCTTTCAAAGCACTTCATTTCCACCCCAGATAAAGCCAAATTAAGGTGCTGTTTGAGCGGTACTACAGATGAGCAGAACACCATCATGTTAAAACTCAGCAGAATCACATTTCGATTTTAGTTCTTAAAAATGGTCGTTACAATTACACAACCTTCAGAAGAGGTACAATGCTTGCTTGTCAGTACAGTATGCGGAATGTAACCATTTTTTGCAAGATTTTGCAACATGAGGAACTGCATAGATGACAGTTGTGTTTTCAGTTCAATAAATGTACTTTTAAAGTTTACAAAAAACACAGAAGTTTGCTATAAAAGTCACATTATACCAAGATAATGGGTGGTAAAAGTAGATTATTTGTCTGTGATTTATGTTTAACAAATGACTAGCGGAAAGGTGATAGAGACCAATTTCAAATCAAGAGTTACATTTTCACTATTGCACTGACTTCACCATTCAAATCACTAATTTAGAAAAATTCACGTAGTTAAAAATTGTAAAATTAAACTAGAATACAAAATGTATTTGTAAACATCAGGTAGCCAGCTCTACTCACATGGAATGGACTCTCGGTACTGCAGTACAGTATCTTGGTTATTTACAGCACTTGCCGTACGATGGGCAATTGCAGGACACATACAACATCAGTTCACAGTAATTGTGTTCAGAGAACTACCAACGTCAGTGCAGTTTTTCTGTGCAATTTTACAATTTCCCCAAATTCCTTAAGTCAAATAATACTGTTACAGAGGCCAAGTGCAGATAGTTTTATATATATACACACATATATATCATAAGTGACGAATTAGGTCTGCAGGACTTCTGTAAAGGTACTTCCAAATGGCATAGTAATGAACAGCAGCGGCTGTGGCCACGAATATGTGCCAGATGGCATGGGCAAAGGGAATGACTCCGTCGCTCTTGAAGAACACCACGCCCAGACAATAGATCAAGCCTCCCCAGGCAACCTCCTGAAGTCCGTCGGTGTTGCTCTGTCAATTAACAAGGAAAGATCAGGGATGGGGTGTAAAGGAGGGAAAGGGTATTCTACGCACAAAATACAAAGTGTCCCCCCTGTCCCTGCCCCAAAAAAGCTGGCTGTCGTAACTCCAAATATCTTGGATATGAGAGATGGACATGTGAGAAAAACCAGTATATAAATATTTAGATGACACTTTGTGAGATACATAATATATTTCTGTAATACATCTCAGTAGCACTACAGAAGCAATAGCAGAATAACTCAAGAATTAAGATAAGTCTGATGTTTTGCTTCACGCTCATTAGCAGAGCAGACAAATACGAAGAAAAAGAAAACCACATTACTGCATGTAAACATGAGTTTAACGTAACTCCTACTAGTCGGATGAAGCATCCAGCAAGGTTTTGGTACAGCCCAGCATTCACAGGAACAGTTAAGTACCATAACTGGCATTACCTTGCAGAGGTGTCAGATTTATATCAGCAGCAGAGAGGGTTATTCAAAGTTACTTAAAATATGTACCTATAAATAAATAATCATTAGGTAGACCCTGCCACCCAGATTCACCAAAACAAGGCAGCATTTCACTGTATGGAAAGTATAAACCCAAAATAGAATCGACTGTATTTGGTTCTTCTGCAGAGAACGTTTACAATTACAGTGGACTAAAATTAACATCTTTTCAGAAGAGAGAGCTGCACTGGAACTTAAGCTAGTTATAAAGGGAAAGTTTCCGAGTTTGTAACGATTCCTTACCATGGATGTCACTACCAGAGCAGGAGAAAATCCCATCGCTAAGTAGAAAAAGAGTTCAACAATCTTATACCTAAAAAGGAACAATTTGAGTCATTTAAGGAGGTGTACAAGAGGATGAACAGTAAAAAACATACTTCAAATTTTATGTTAGCATGGGTCTGTTAAACTATTCAAAAAAGCTTTCAACGCAGAGAGGTTACCATTGTTTTATGACAAAAATAAAGCTAGCATTTATCTCTGCATTGTACAGTTGCAGGCAATACCTTCTCTAAATACTGCCTAGATGCATTCATTTGCATTAAGTACTAGTGAAAACAAAACATTGAGAAGACTTATATTTTCCTATATGAAAAGAACCTCAGTAGATCATCTCCAAAGCAAAAACATTGGGTCTTGCTCCCTGAAGACATCTTATGACAGGGTGAGTACAATTATCTTCTAACAAGATATAAGTCCACATCATTCTCATCACATATTTCCACTGTTTCAAAGCTCTTATTTCAATGTGTGATTTTTCACCTTTTCATTTCAGTTTTAAGTTAAATGCAAATAATAATTCTTACTTTTCATGGTAGAGAAATACATAAATGGTTCCTCCAGCAGCCATCAGCCAAATAAACCAACGCATGTGAGATGCTAGAGGTCCAAGCTCACGTAGGTTTAACCTGGAGGTACAAAGATTTCAAAGAGACAGAAGTGATGAACTAATGGACCATACTGACACAAGAGGAGTGGCGTTTGATAAAAAGAAATAAATATATTTAAATATTCAGATCTATAATTTAGGCATGATGGAGAAAACACTTGGACACTCTACACATAGAGAAGCAGAAGGTGTGTTTGCACTGATGTTAGGGAAGCATAAACTGGGGTATGTGAAATATAAATTAATTACTTTCTACTGTTTTCTAATATTACTTTCTGTTCAGCAAATCTCAGGAGATTACATCACATTGCATTTCACAATGCAGAATATTGTCAACTGCATCTCAGAAGATATCTATAGATTTTGGAAAGCCAAAGGGACAAATTGTTTGCAATGGAAAAAACTTTAATTTTGAAGCTGTGCTTCAGATTTCTTACCATGGTGCATAAGATGCCGCAATAAAGACATAGATCATCATTCTGTCACACATGTGAAAGCAGTGCTCCATTGTCCTGTGAGACAGAGAACAAGTCACCACGACAAGTTTTGGGAAGACTGCTACTATTTAGGGACTACTGCTTAAAACCAACTTTTGGCCCAGAATTAAACAGGAGTCATAATGAAGGGGAAAAAAAAAAAAAAAAAAAAAAATCACATCTCAGTTCTGCTACTGCTGCCTTGCTTCCAAAGAGGCTTTCTGCTAGTTAACTGTGTATTGTATTATAATCCCCCTGGCAAACTCTGTGTTCTTCAAAGTATTTGAGCGTGCCATAGTCCCGGACAGTGGGATTATATCCACCATGCACTTAGATGAGGTTTTTCCCACACAGCCTCTGGATTAAGACCCACTAGGGCCTAGGAAACCACATATTTTCCTTGCAAAAAAGCAGCAGACATTCAAGTTTGTGTATGAGCTTGGCTCACTATTTCTTCCAACAGAATCAAGGGTGTTTTTTTCATGATTCAATACAAGGTACCACTCCAGAATTCTGTAAAATCATGTTTTTGACTGAGAAACATAATGGAAAAACAACACATAATACGAAAATAAATCATGTTGTACATCTTATAGTTGTACCTTAAGTGACTCTTCTTCCACGAAACGATATGGAATACTGTGGAGACAATGAAGAGCGCGCAGAGCCCCATGCCGTACATCCATGCTGTTATCTTTTCCCATCGATCGTCAGACAGCCGGTGGAGAAGGGCACTACCCACAATCGCAGGAACAATGAGGAACTAAGGAAACAAAAGCCCATTGTTGAGTCTTCACTTGCAGCCAACCCACCGCACAGCACCAGCAGGGCAGATAAAACCGCACTATGCCATATAAACCCCTATGTACCACATTTGATGGCACGCTCCTAACCAGAACAAGTTTTTAATTTAGCAGTATGTTGACACACAAGCATCAAGACTTTGACAATACCTCAGACATCTGGGTTACACCTGTTTGTGATAAATTGCTCCTCACATGGGTATCAGGCTAGGTTACCAGCTGCTCTAGCCGTGGCACAGACAAACAAAAGAATTTGCTCAGTCTTAGTAGTGCTTTTTATTTTCACATTCTGCTTTGTGTTTTAAAAAAGGTTTTGATCTTACTCAAGGCTGGGATCTAAACCACCTCTTCTGCATAGAGGCAGAGCACAGGACAGACCAAAATAAACTTAAATCATGAATGAAAAAATAAAGCTTTTAGAAATACGCTGTTAAGTAGAAGACAAGAAAACTAAGCAAAGGCTTTGCGAGAGCTTGAGTTTTAGAGAAATACGCTGTTAAGTAGAAGACAAGAAAATTAAGCAAAGGCTTTGCGAGAGCTTGGGTTTTAGATATGAAAATTAAAAATTAGCTGCAAATCTAATTTATTATTAGATTTTTAATGCACAAAGACAATATTCTTTCAATGCAGTGTACCCATGTCTGTTTTCCTTACCACCTCCCTCTCAAGCAGCTTTAATTCAGATCTTCCAGAACAACCACTGCTAGAACATCACGATGGAATTAGCATGCTCACATGAAGTAGCCAAGAAGTGGGCTGCAGTCTTCACATACATTTAAAACTACAATCCTTTCCAGAACAAATTATAACATGTACCTTTTGCCTCATTCAGAAAAGAACAAACTAGGGGTGGGGGAAAGAAAAGCATGTCCAACAAGTATTTAAAGAAAAGAACCTCCTGGCTCAGATGTTTCTACCCATCTTTGTCAGCCTTCTCAGCTAGAAACACGGAACAAATTCCCGTCCAGTCCCTCCAGAGGGTCTTAAGATGTTAATGGGTTCACTTGAATTATAAGTAAGCTTCATATGTTAAATTCTTTGTAGTTTAACCCAAGTCTCACATGCTAAACAATAAAGCAAGGAACAACTGATGTTTAAACAAATCCAGCAACTCTGCTTTGCATTTCAGGTTTTTATAGTTTGGAGTCTAGCCTGTGCTGTCTTTGTCCTTTACCCGTGTACAGACCAGAAGAAATTGAGGCTCTGATCACAGCTACAGTGCAGAAAATGCAGAGAATACTGAAAAGTAGTTGGTTAATCCAGAGAGTTAAAAAAACCCACACACACAGGAAGTGGCTTTTACTTCTGGCTTTTGAAGGACATCAACTGTAGCTTCATTACTATTAAATTTTCTTCCTTTTTTGCAACATGTAATACTTTTGTGCCAAAAGCTGTAGAGCCAGGGAAATGAAAATTATGGCATTTCAGTACCCACAGCATTTGGACCAGAGGTGAAAACACTTTTCGAGTGCTGCAATGAGACGATGGAAGTTGACCTCATACACTCTAAGGCCAAAAATAGTCTGCCAGTCTGGCTTCTCATCTATCACAAACCATAAATTTCCATATATGTATCTTGGACAGCCCCCAAATTCAAGAAAGGTTAAAGTGTTTCACTCCTCAGGAGATCAGTCCCTGCTGTTTTCCCCATATGGCACACAGCTCAAAGTGTCGCTGAAGCCCTTAGGACAGCCAGGAACTGATTAGATGTGGCAGTTGTTTTATTTAGTTTTTGCAGGAGACAGGAAGATGCTAAGCTCCAGAAATAGTTTTTTAGCCGCATTTCGTTAAGCTGTGCAGTTATGCTGTATCCACATTCATCAGTTCCCAATTTCTGGTGCAAATTTCAGCTTTGGCTAAACTTGACAGAGAACTAGAAGGTTTCAGAGGGATTATGTACCCACAAGTATCACAAACACAAGTGCTGGGCAAAACAGCAAATCCCACTAATTCCCTACTAAAAGCCTGGATGTGAGCTGCTTGGAGATACTGCCTGGAGCTCTGCTTGAGACCATTTCACAGGAAGGCTTTTTGGGAAACTAAATTAGATATTACACAGAACAACCTGCCTTTCTAACACAGCTTTTTACTAGTCTACTAAAATAAACATTTCCCAAGTTAAGCTGTGATGTGCAATGCTCAAATAGGACAGAGTTTGCGGCCAATCACATTTTCTAGTAATTAAAGTTGCAGGGTTAAAAAAAATAAGCAATTCTCTTACCACCTTTTTCTTTGCACCTTTAGAATGAAGAATAAGCCACAAATGAGTACATGGATGAAGAACTGAATTAATCTGTTCTCTGCCTTGTCCTGGCTCTGCAGAACAATTCTACATCTCACAGGAACAGCACTATACTAACATGAGAAGGATTTATTGTTTTTTCTGTTTGGAAACACTTTCCCCTCTGTGCCTGATATGCATCATGGGAACAGATAGACTAAACAAGAGATGTTTTATTGTTTTTTTTCTGACCAAAGATAGCCAGATTAAAGACAAAAATCCAGAGACGATACCCTGCTGTTCCAGCCAACTGGGTGAAAGTTCTTTAGATACTAATGCCATACCAGATAACATGATACAATGGACTTCGTTGTATCTAACATCCATCTTACAAAAGAAATATAACACTCCACTCAACAAAACAAGGCACATTTTCCCATGTTAATTTTAAAAAAAATCTCTAGCACAAGAACTGCATTTGACAGAATACAGAAGCAATCAATCAATCCTTTAAAAGAAGGGATATTTACCAAAAAAGTAGTCAAAGAACTAACAGAATGTGTGACTGTGCTGTGTCATTTTACAGCAGTGACATTGCATTTCTAAGTTGCCAACATTCCCAGTAATAAAACTAGCCACAAGTCACAAAAAAGCTTTGCTTATTTCATCCTGAAGTACAACTTCCAAATGAATATCAAGCTGTGATGCTTCAGTTTACCAATTTTAGCAAGTTCATTAATAACTTGCTACATCAGAAATGGGGCTGGTAGAGAGATTTACAGAACAAGACAGCAGGCATGTGTCACTAAGCGTTCTAGAGAATTGCCAGAACAAATAGAGAGCATGAAGTTACAAACCATCATGGAGCAGGAAGCCTACTTGCAACTTTGCTAGTGCAATGGAGAGAGCAGGGAAAGGGCTAAGACCAGTCAGGGAGAACGGAGGCATGCTCATCACAAGAGCCTTCCTGAAATTTTGATGACCCCTTCTCCCACGCCCAAATACCCTGCTAAAAGCTCCAAGCCTCATTTTTGAAATATTTATACTTTTTTCTTTTTTTCCATGCACTGCACAAACCAAGACTGGAATGGAGACTACAACTTATTCTAAAAAGAATTCCTCCTTTTAAGGCAGTTGGAAGAAACTTTTAGAGCAGCATAAAGAAAGTTGTGTCTAAATTCTGAGGTTTGAATACAAAAGAGCGTGTCTTTTGTCTGATAAATCTTGTGTACACTAGAAAGTTTCACGATGAAAGAGCCATCCCTCCCCTCAGATTTAGCTTACCTTACAGCTCAAATTCTTACGACTCCTGCTTCTCTCATACACTGTTTCCTTCCTGTTCTTCTAAACAGAGAGCAGCTTTTCTGTCTCTGCATTCAACCGCTTAGCTGCCCTTCCTGTCTCCTAGTGTCTAAAGCCAAGTCAGTGCTTCATTTAAAGCTAAAAAAAAGTCAAGACATTTTAAATAGACTTACTAGTTAGAAATGTGAAGATACTTACTACACTACACAAAGTTACTTTTTAAGTATTGTAACAAAAAGCTACACATGTGATTGTATCCCCACTTGTTGTTGTTGTTGTGGGGTTTTTTAATATTTTTTTTTTTAAACAGTTGCCTAAACTGACTGCTATGTATTTTTAAATCAAAAAAGAGATGGGATACCCACTGAGGAGTATGGCCATGCTCATAAAACACAAGCTGACTACTTTCTGAATTATCAATAAAGCTTTGAAAAAAATACATGGAGAACCATTGCTAAACTCTTCTGTAGAAATTACACCAGTGACTAATTGAAAACTCATGCTGTAATCTAGCAGCAAAGACTCAACCACTTGCCTATCTAACATTTACTAACACAGAGGAGAAGCAAGCATCCCACCCCAGCTTCTTCTGTTTAACCCACTCTGCCTTCCCAGATTAGATTCCTATTTCAAGGCTTTAAGTTTTGATTAATATTCCATACAATATATTTAAGGAGTAACAATCCCTCTTTTATACAACACAATTTTTTTCCAAAGGTGCACTAACGTTGCATATCCCCAAGCCGTGAGCAATCCATCGTAGGTTTAGTACACAGCTTGACTGTTCAGAAAGCGATTACACAGCTTCACCAGAAACCGCAGCATATCAGAAAATACTGATACGACATCTCGGCTGTAACCTCCTGCTAACAGGCAGGAGTACGACATGCCTGTTTTTCAACTAGACGAAGGCTAGAATTGCTAAGGAGCACGGCAACTTCTGCCAGATATTTTGAAATCTAACTTTTTGGCCAGAGTAAACAAGATTTGTACAAGGATTATGAGATAGCTACATATCTGTATTAACCAACAGAATGTTGCTTCGTTCTCTAGACAAATATGCATTTATTTACATATTGCTGGACAAGACCCTTGTCTTAAACCCACATAAGCTTCACTTAGCTTTTCTACACGTAAACGAAGGTAATTCTGTTTTTACCAACACCACAGAGCTGTATGTTGGTGATTTATAAAATATACACACAGCATCTTTAAGAATAAAGCTTCTTCTAGAGCTGAGGAGTCCCATGCACTACCTTGAGCACTTGTATTTGTAGCTCACTCAGACACACTGGAGATAAGAGACTGAGGACAAAGTCAAACATACTTCAGATGTTTGGAGTTAAACAAGGGATTGAGGAGAAGCACAGGCTGCTTTTATTAAAGAGCAAATGCTAGCTTAAAAATAAACACACAAATATTTAAGTCCTTTTCAAAATGGCAGACAGCCAATTAAACTTTTCAATTACTAAAAAAAAAAGGGACGGCTTCCTTATTTTGTATATATCAGATACCCATATCTAGTATGAGTCCTTACATTATGAAAATAAGGACAGGCTGGGTTTTCCAGAAGGGCTGTCAGCATCGGCAGTGCCGCTTTCAAAACAGCAGATTTCTCGAAGAATCAATTCATAGACATTAATTATCATAACTAAGCCATTCCAGTTCTAGCTAATACCCACAGGACAGTCTTACGAAGCCTTCCACTTCTAACATGAATAAATCTTTCTTACTCTTGCAGTATACGATTTGTACAATATTATATCAGCACAGTACTGGGAAATCTGCCTTGCAAGATTAACTAGTACAGGCCCACGTTCACCTTACCGAGTCATCCTTTGACTGGGACAGAGGAAGAACACCTAGTTAAAGACATGTAACTTCCTCTGGTGAGAAGGAATCTTATGAAGCATTTGGAGCTCCTAGGGATTCAGAACAGGGACTAGTGATCACGAGCCCTCTAATTGACGCTCCATTTTCTGGACTGTTATAGCTAAAGCTTATATAGCACAACCAGAGAGGTTGTAATTATGAATAAACTCAGGCAAAGGTAAGCATTTAGCTATGTAAACCCACAATAATTTACTGAAACATCTGGGTTAAAAAAAAAAAGAAATATACTTACTGCATGTGTGTAACAGTTAGCAGCATGTTCATAGCAAGTGGGTTTGTAGCGGCTGTTTGCTGGAGCTGGGTGGTTCATGAACCTGTTGAATAATTAAGAGGTGTTTTCAGGAAAGGGAATAAACCATCTCTTTTGAGTGTCGTGAAGAAATACCTCTAACCTAGTAGTGTTCAAAATTATAAGTACAGACATGTTAAAAGGAACTGTTACTTGAATTGTAAGTTCTCCTAGATGAGTTCTCTTAACAGAAATGTTAAATAAATTTCTGTGACCGCCTGTCACAGCGGATGGTTATCTTAGCATATACAGAAGTCAGATCCCCTCTCATCTTACAGCTTGGATAGATGAAGAATGAACTCTTTCCTATTTAAATTACATAATATGGATTCCAATTACTCTTGAGACATGGACTTCACCATAGCTGGCAACTTCTTTTAAGAAGTTCTTGAAACTACAGCAATACTCCAGTTCTATAACACCTTGGAATAAACCAACATTGACTTTTCAATTCCTACAGCAAGCAATATCTGTGTTTAGAGCATTAGATGGCTCAGTTTTTCTTTGGGGCTAATCCTATCTTCTGTCTGTAAAATCCAAGCTACCCAGGGATGAAAGGACACTCTAATGGTTAACTCTGAAGAGGAAAAATTCCAAGAGGCTTACCATCAACACTGCACCTTTTTCTCTAAGAATTTTCAAACATTACCTAACAATCACACCAAACACAGCCTATGCAAGTCAAACCAACTATGATGAAACCTGAGAAAGTTTTGGAAGAATTTGGCAATACAAACATTGCATTTAACTATTCTGAACAACCAAACACTTGAGCTGTTTCTGTGAAACGACACAATTTAAATCTGTGTATAAAAACCTCCAAAAGAGAGTACACATTTACATGCAACCAGACAGGCAAAGCTCGCTCCAGCTGCAGTACCAGGCATGTTATCCCAGCACAGCCTGCCATCACACAAAGGTGATTCTCTTTCACTAATAAATTCCAGTTTACTCCAGACTATTATAAAACTATGCATTGACAATTAGTCCGGTATCCAACAAGCCAGGAACAGTTTCACAACAAACACAGAACATGTCTGTATGTTCAGAACTGAGAGCAGCTTTGTTAGCTACACTTGTATAAAAACTAATCCTCTTTTTATGACATCCATAAAACATTGGTCAATCCCAAACCAGGGAAAACCAGACAAATAACACAAAAATCCCAACCATAATCTTATCGTTTGAGTAAGCAGTTCGAGATTTCTGGGATAAGACACTTGGTTTACAAATCACTTAATAAATCAGTCAAGAACACCTTTTTTTTTCCTAAACTGGTACATGAAAATTTAACAGCATTGATAAAATAACACAGTGTCATGATGTCTCTCCAAATTGTGTCAATGTCTATAAACAGTTTGAGCTGTTACTAATACAAGGATCAAGAAAACCACAAATTTCATTCACAGACACTGGGAATAAATGGTTGTTAGCAAATGAATAATTCCACCAGAATTAAGACATTGTTAAAAAATGGCAATTCTTTTGCCAATGACAAACGACACCTTGCTCTCATCTCCAAGAGGATAATGACATTATAGTCATATACACAGGCTTGCAGAAATTTGGAAAACAATTTTGTTGTCCAGTCCGCAGAGGTCTTCACCAGCTGCTGAAGACCATCTCAGCATTCTCCGCAGATGGAACATTCAGTTTACTCTGTTCTGCTTCCAAGTTAGGAAAATATTTAAAAATAAAAGTATCTGTTGGCTCAGTTGAGTGACCAGGATTAGACTGCCCTTGCTCAACTCCATAAATTCCAAATCATGGGAAACCTTTCACCGATTACATCTAGAATATTATTACATTTCTCCAAAGGCCATGGTGGTACCTTGGAAGTCTCACGAGAAGTTCGAAATAAAAGAAAAAAAACAACCACCCAAAACTAAAGAACTCAAAGGAATAAGCTTATCCTCAGTATTAGCTTTATTATTTCAGTTGCTCCAAATTTCTATATATTATCATCATCTAAAAATCTATAAATAATTGAAGGCAGCTTGCTAATGGGACCTTCTATTATCCACTAGAGGACTACTTTTTTTTTTTTTTTTTTTTTTGCTACTAAATACATCTAAATCAAAAGGAAAAGATATAGAATCTTTCTGAAACAGTCACAACAGAGCCTGGGGTAACATTGGATTTCAGACAGAATTATGAACAAACACTTCAGAAAGTCCATTTATTATTAGAACCTCTTATTCTCACTAATTTAGCAACGGCGTTCTTAGCAGTAAAGCAGAAGACAAAGACACTAACGAAGCTATCCTTTCTCTGTTATCTAGGCAAAGGGTTGGGTTTTTATTCCCCCTTGTTTGTGGAAGCACAGGAACGATGCAAATATTCGTCCACCTGTGCGGTCACTTTAGACTGGCAAAACAGACAAGCAGCAGGTTTCTGAAAACTTCACAACTGCAAAACACTTCAAACATGTTTGTTTTGTTTTTTAATAAATACTTCAATTCTGGTTATTTAATTCAAAACAATAACAAAAAAGGTTAGTAACATGGCTGTTGAACAGAAAGCTTTCCTGGCCTCCCACAACAGCTGGAACTTGCTTTTCTTCCACCCAAACACCACCATCAGCAATATTTACCCATCCCCTCGTGTTTATACTAATAACACCACCACCACCACCAGGAGTGGGTTTTGGGAAGAGAGGAGTTAGAATTTACCTCTACCTTAAAGAAAAGGATCTGGAAACACCCCAGTATCTCACTTTGCTGATGCTGGACACGCCTGCCCCTCTCCTTTCTGCAAGGTACCAGCGGCAGCAGGCTGCCAGAGCCAGGCAGCAAGCGCTGGAGCACGTGTGTGCAGGTCACTGCCCACAGACGGCATCTTCAGCAAAGCTCCTGTTACTGCCCTGTGCCTCTTTACAACACTATCTATAAGCATTATCAGGATCAACATTAGAGGAAGGGTCATTTAAAGAGGGGTTGAACAGGGCAGTAATTCCAGCCAAGGCTTCCCTTGAGTTTTTCCACACATTCATGTTTATATCCTTAAGAAACTGACCTGAAGCTTGAAAACAGATGCTTTGGGATACACTACACCAGAGTGCTTGTCAAAACCAGGAAAAACAATTTTGACACATGTAGTTAAAAAAATCATAGACTCCTGTAGTTACATAAACAAATGACATCGCAAGATAAAGGCAGAAGAATTTGGCTGCAGACTTACTGACAGTCTAGAGACAAAAACTGTTCTGTTCTCTCTTAAAGATAAATAAACAAATGAACCCAATACCATCACCAACAACGGATGCTTTTTGTTTCCTGCCACATGAATACTGCAACACAGGGTCATTGTTTTTCCTCCTATCTACAGGTCCAGTTTCCCTCTTCTGAAAAAAGATAATTGTGAGGAATACAGGCTCACCTGCCTAAAAGTGGAAACTTGACACACAGCGTTCAGAGGCTCTTTCCTCCTAAGCAAAGGCTCTCTAGAACACAACCATTAAGGTTATTTGTCTGATAATGTCCCACTGAAGTGGACTGCAATTTACTAGAAACAGCTTTAAGTGAAGCATTTTGATTTTCTAACAAATCTCTCATGTATTCTTTCATAGGAACTCCAGTGAAACCAGAATAATTTAATTAGGGATATGCAGTGTTGTCTCCCAAGAACACATAAGTAACTCTCCATTTAAGATACTGACAATCCAAGATATCCAATATAAAATATTAACTCCTTCAATATCAGAATTCGAAATTTCTGAAATTAGCAGACGAATAACTCCCTGCAGCCAGCCAGGAAAGCAGAATGCTTTTGCACTAGAGTTTTGAATTCATTTTCACAACTTAAACACATTCTTAAAGCTCAAGAATCACTTGAGGTCAAGGAAGTCCAAGGTTTATTATTAGTTTCATGGCACACAAACAACATTTTTTGATGAGCACATAACCAGTAGAAGTAGAAAAGGGGTATTGGGAAAGACATGACGATTTAAAACAGGAGAGAAGAAACTCACGCCTTCCCTTTACACTACTTGAACTCTGATCTTGAAACACTTCAAATATTTAAAACATTAAACATATGGACTAATCCATTCTTTGTGAGACACCCCTGATCTCAAGTTCCTATTCATTTCTAAGGAGCAGATACTATATGCTTCATAGTGATTCCAGAATTAAGAGATGATCATATTTGGGAGAGAAAGGAGGAGCAAAATCCGAGGGTTCTTAATGCTTTGTCTTCACATGCAAACCCAACTCAGAAAAACAAATTATAAAACCCCAAATCTATTGCATGTATCTGTATGGCATTTGTCTGGTATCACAGCAAGCTCATACCCCAAAACTGGAGAAAAGCACTTTTCAAATCCTGCCTTATTCTTGATTCCCATCTGCTGAATGAATCATTCTTGTAAGCATCAGTAAAAACCAGCAGGCACTGACAATAGCCTCAAAGATCTGGATTTTTCAGTCTTTTCAGGAAGTGCATTTCCTTTATTCAGCTCAAAAGGCCTCATACTTCCTTTTACCAGCTTAAAAGCACATTATGCCTTTTTGTATCTTTTTTTTCCTCAGGCTTTCCAGCACAGGAGAGGCCATTTAGACCAAATAAGCCACAAATAACAGCATATGAGAAACTGCAACAAGGTGGGGACAACTCCACAAAACCAGCAGCAGTACACATTAAAGGGGGTTACATATTCAGATACTGAAGCAATGTTTATCTTTTCTAGGCTCTTTGTTTTCAAGAGCAAAAACAAAACAAAACAAAAAAATCACAAGCAGGTCAAAATAGATCAGCACTACATTTTCATTGTGACCATTTTAGTAAGATTATGAAGAGAAATTAATAGGTTTATAAAAAGCTTGCTTCCTTTGACCAAATTGGTAGCTATTCCTCTTTACGAATTCAGTCCATTCAGTTAAAAATAGAGCCGTATTCCTTCAGACTAGGCACCTTCCTTCCTGGATTAGAAAACATCTAGTTGTGGTTTGTAACTGCTCACATAATATTTACTATTGCTGAACAACTGAGCCACAGAAATAATTCAGATCAGTACAGAAGCAGACCGCTTACTTGGAAATAGCAGTAAAATCACAGGCTGTGTAAAGGTTCATCCACATACAGCCCAGTACCAAAGATAAAATGAAATCTGCAATACTCTGAGAATCCATTAACAACTGTGGTATCAAACATAGGTTAGGTCATGGAAAACAGTGTCTGTGCATCCCACTGACCTCCTAAAAGCCTCCTCAACCTTCTGGCAAGTACAAAAGGCAAAATATTCAAGTGAAAGAGCAGGAAAGCGAACAGAAGTCACACCAGGTGCTGCAGCACAACCGAGCTCAGGGTAACAGCCTAGGCATGGGCTAGGACAGAAACCAGCTCTGACCGTATTCACGTTTTTGTCTCTTTCAGTTCTCTTCCAATTTTATTTCCCTTTTAATTCTTTGGTCCTGCTTTCTCGAGAAAGCCGTTGACAGGAGAGCAGGGCAGCCCGACAGCACTGTACCTGCTGGGGAAAGCCACCGCAGAAACTGGTGTTATCTGGGAGACAGGCTGTCCCTCAGCAGCTATCGGCCTCGCAGCTGGACTTTGAGCAACGAAGCACCCAAACCACCCCCCGACACGTTTACCCGGGAACCGCGACCGCACCGTCACCCAACCGAGCCCCCCGCGAACA